CAACGTCAATATTCATTCAAATGTCTAGACGGGGCCGGGCAACCCTGATGTAGACTATGAAACTTCTGAAGTTTATGAAGTGGTGAAGGTGTTGAACATTATGGAACCCCCCCCCCCCTTAAACAAAACAAAGTAGGAGGAGGAAGGTCGGGGGGGCTTAGGTATTTAAATATCTTCACCACTTCAAAATTTTCAAAATCTTCAACGTCAATATTTATTCAGATGTCTAAGGGGGGCCGGGCAACCCTGATGTAGACTATGAAACTTCTGAAGTTTATGAAGTGGTGAAGGTGTTGAACATTATGGAACCCCGCCCCCCCTTAAACAAAACAAAGTAGGAGGAGGAAGGTCGGGGGGGCTTAGGTATTTAAGTATCTTCACCACTTCGAAATTTTCAGAATCTTCAACGTCAATATTCATTCAAATGTCTAGACGGGGGTGCTCAGAATTTTCAGCAACTTCACCACTTCAAAGTCTTCAGAATTTTCAACGTAAATATGCATTCGGATATAACTGGGTCATTCAAACTATTCCACATTTCATCCACTTCAAATTTTCATAATGTTCAACATTATTGAAAGGAGGGGCGCATTCGGTATTTTCAATTTCTTTTAAACCGTTGATAACTTCAAAATCATTGAATCTATTTTAGTTCAGAATTACTTCAGGTGAAGATTCAACGAGTCATTGACCATTTGTGATATATCTGACAACAGTGATAAGCATAGAACCCTTCATCAAGAAAGAAAAGATATCACGTAGTTTGGACAAGCACAATTTCTTCGGGCAATACGCACCCTCTTCATTCCGGTATCTGACGAGAATCATCACTATTATATATTCCAAGACACAAGGAGTCGTTGCCTAAGCCCACTGTAAGCATAACTTCCAAGAGGCACATGAATTCTCAATATCGTTGTTGAATCAATGGTTGCAAACAGTCAAGGACAAACCAACATTGTTTTATATACATTTGACAAGAGTAAACCCCTTAACGTAGCTCGTGGAAGCACAAGTTTCTTGGGCAGCACGTACCATCATCATTATTGTACCTCATAAGAATATTGTTATTTTTCATACATTCCAGAACACAAGGAGGCCTTGCCCAAGCTAGCGGGAAGAAAAGTGCCCTTAGGAGCACAAATCTTCAACGTGGTTGTACTTGGCCTAAAGCAAAGCTTGTATAACTCGGTGGACAAAATGAATTTTCTTTTTAATTTATTATTTTATATGTCTGGCAAGCAAAAAGGCATCAATGAAGTTCGCAGAAGCACACGTTTCGTAGGCAGCACGTACACTCATCATTCCTGTATTGAGGGAAACGCTTGATGTCTTCAGCGGCTGTATTAATGAGACCAGAACTAGAAATACTGACAAATACTCTGAGAAACCTAGGCTTCAATACCTTTGCAACAACCATGACAGATACAACAAGGCGCAAAATACACAATGGCCAAAAGCATGTGGGAGAGAATTGAGGGTTGAGAACAGTCCTTGTTTCCGAGTGTCATCATACGAACACAGCCTTATCACTCGCGCTCCATTCTATTCGCCTGTAGCTTATAAAAAGCACATATATCGATAGGTAGATAGATACCGTCCCGTACATAAACAAATACAAAGCTTGTGAAAAAAACAAATCAGTCCCCAGACGACGACCTGTGCTAATCCTTTCCAATCGGCCTGCCCACTTAGAGAAACACAATTTTGAACAATGCAGCTTAGTCGTACCTTCCGTACGTTCTATGTCTCCCTTGTATGCCCCACAGTTTCATGCGAGAACCAAGTCTGGAGCAAGGCCTGCAAAATGACAAGGCAAACAGACAAGCAGGAAAGAAGGGGGATAACAAGGTAAAGTCAAGCCACTGTTTCCGCATAGGAGTCGATGCTGCTAACGATAGCAGCACATATTCATGTTCGCACGCTAGCCAAAAAGGGGAAAAAAAATAGTGTTTGCCACTGTTGCCCTGTTTGCTAACCATGGGATGGGAGTGACAATTGATGATGGGAAGTGGGGCTTCCTGGCCGGAGCGGGAATATATGGAACAATGTAGCGTAGGAACAATGTGGCGTACAGGACTGACGGAGAAGGGCAGATCTTATATGCGAATCCAAGAAGGGAGGTAAGACAAGGAGTGAAAGATTGCTGCAGCCTGGACTTGAACAGATACTCTCCTAGTACGGACACAAATGTCAAGAAAATTAACGGTGGACCATCGAGAGGTGAGGAGAACTCCAATTTCTCACCTGTCACTGGCTGTCAGAGAATTCATTACTCTGATTGCCTTCAAATATGCTGTGCTAGGTGCTGTCTGTTTTTTTTTTTTTTTTTTTTTTTTTTTGTCAATTGGGACCATTTCTCGATTTATGCGTGTCATCGTTGGGCAGGGGCCATGCTAATCTTCTCTGTATCGTTCAAATTTTAACGGATGTCCCAAAGGACAGGTGCTATGTCTTTTCTGCATTGCTGAAATACAGATATCGGTGCCCAGTTGAGATCCATCAGTTCATCCATCCACCCACCATGTTTAGTGCGCCGATGAAATCATCCCTTCCGTACACACACACACACACACACGCGCACACACACACACACACACA